GGCAGTGCTGGGATGGGCAGTGCTGGGATGGGCAGTGCCGGGGATGGACAGTGCCGGGGATGGACAGTGCCGGGGATGGACAGTGCTTGGATGAGCAGTGCCGGGGAGGGGACAGTGCCGGGGGATGCGCCGTGTCCAGCGATGCCCCCGGGCTATCGACTGCAATAAAAACCGAAAAATCCACCGTCTGCCTTTGCTTGTGCTGCTGAAATGCAAAATGCTGCTGAGAAGTGGAAATTGTGTTTGGCCTCGAATTTTTATTTATAATACATAACACAACTAATGTATATATCTAAAAAAACCAAAAACCCAAATCACCCCCCAAATCCACTCTATGGCATTAATTCTTCCTTTTGGTGAGAGTGTGAGATCATACCCAGCAGCTGCAGGCACACCACGTTCCACACTTCTGGAAGTGGTTCAGTCTGATGCTGATGAGGTATGTAGGACAGAATTAATTACTGCCTTATCTGTGCTCAGGCTTGAATTTCAAAGTTATATTTGCTCTGTTGAGTGCTTATGATTTTTTTAACTCCAAAGGCAATGATTGTTTAGGCAAAATGAGCAACTTTCATACCCCAGACTGTGCATTGTGAATGTGCAGCAGCAGAGCTGTGCAGTTCCACACTGAGCATGCGCTGGGAAATGGCCAGCTCTTTATTCATTTCACATCAGTCATTTATTGATAAATAAATCAGTAATAGCTAATAAAAAGTAAAATTAACTCGAGGTTTTCTTTTTTATTTTTCCAGAAAGAGCTCAGTCTCCCCAGAAGAGGAAGCTTGTAAGTATAATTATTCTTTATTCATCCCTTGGTTTGTTTTGAACATATATAGCTGTTCAGTTGTGAAAGTAATTTAGATGGGCAGATGCTCTGTTTTCTCTGTTAAACATTTTCAAGAACCTGTCATGGGCTTGGGAAGAGCTAGCTTGGATTTCTGTGAGACTGAAGCCTCTATTCATTTCCTTAAGTGTAGCAGCAAAAGCAGTGGTAGTGTAAGCTTACTTCTAATGACCAGCTTGAGCTGATCCTGATACCAAAGTAGCGGCGTGTTGAGTGCTGCCCCTCCGACGGGGCTGAGGCAGCGCCAGAGGAGTCGCTGATTATTTATGTGATATGGGCAACTCTGATCACTGCTCCTCAAACAGTCTGTTGACAGAAGTCTGAGCACACAGCTCCTGGGCCACACAGGTCAGGTGTTTGTGGAGCAGGCAGCCTGATGGAGGTATCTCAATAAAGTAGTGTATGTCAGGAAAAGTAGGCTTTTAAAACTGTCGTTTAAACAAACAGCAATTTTTTTTAATGCATTATGATGCTTAAAGAATTTCAGCGAACTAACTTGGTGTTTCAATGGTATTATGAGAGCTTAGCTTCTGCTATGCTTACAGATTTATGGTGGAAGAAATTGCATTATTGATTGCATTGTATAAAAGAGAAAGCTTTTGTACTGCCTTGCTATTGCATTATGATTTAAAATTGTTTCCCAAAGCTTGTGGACTGCAGACATGAAGCTCACAAAAGCTTATAACCTTTCTTCCTCAGGTTTCTGGTTCTAATGAGAAATGATTTTCAGTCTTTCAGTGTAAGCTATCCCCTTTGTATAAGAAACAGTGTTTGGAAAATGCTATGTAGGGCTTGTGATTCAGGGCTGAACAATACAGAGGATCAAAAGGTCTTTTTTTAAAAGTGGGGCATGACCAGACCTTTTTGTTTAGTTCATATGACAATGATAAACCAGTCAGGGAGTTATTTAAAGAACATGAAGCACTGACTGGTTTTGGGGTTTTTTTTTTAACCAGTATGCTTCAAAGGCTAGCTTAGCAAGATTTGAGAGATTTCTAAGACAGGTGGTGCTCATCATTTGAAGATTATGAAGGTTCTTTGATCACATAGTGGAGCAGTGAGTTACCAGTAAGTTTTTTGTTGAATGTAATTTTTGCACAAAACTTTTGGAATTGAAATTGAGGATGCCAGAGATATTCCAGCTTATTCCAGCATGGAGGTGGGTATGACACAAGACTAGTTACGTATTTTCATTTGAGCTATCTGAGATACAAATGAAGTGCTTCAGATGTGTAATGTTTTAGTTACTGGTAACTAAACCAAATGACTGAATATTTTATTTCTGTATTACTTAACTCCTGCAATTTTCATTACTTCACTTTAGTTTTCCTCCACAAGTGAGTGCCTTTTAAGCTGTCACTGTGTGAAGTAATTTAGCAACCTGTGTCAAGAAGATCCAGGCCATAAATTTTAAGCACAAGGTTGCAGCTATTAGTGAGACTAAAAATATATGAAGAATTGAAATATCTTAGTTGCTTGTGTTGTCTAGCTGATTATTTGATTGTAGTTTCTGGAATTACAGAGTCTATATCAAGTCAAGTACCAAGTGTAGTCCATAACCAAATGATGTTTTGTTGTTTGAGAAGTTTTAACTGTTCATGAAATCAGTAGTGCATTGTGGCTGATGTAGACCTGTGTTGATGCTGTACTATGAAATGCACAGGCTCACTGAAAAGGCTCTTGTGGGGTTGATCTGCATGATTTTGCATATCCCAAGGTCAGAGTGATTACTTGTTTTAAAAAAAATCCTCTTTGTTTTTGAAATAGAAATTAGAGTAATTTATATCAAGGGAATAATTGTAATATATGTGTGTAATATAAGGTAAAAATATACATATACTATGTATAAATTTGTTCATTTTGTCTAAAAGAATGGCATTTCAACTGCACGCAGCTCTCAATTCTTCTGGAGGCTTTTCCTCTGCTGGAATCAACTGCGAACCTCATAAGCAATAACAAATTCTGAAAATAAAATTTATTCTGAAAAGCTGCTGTTGTGCTGTGGCTGATGAGCAGGGATAGTTATGGGTGTAGCCATGTCCTGATTCATTGACTGTCAGTCACTGACTTTTGTTCACCAACAGAAGCAGAAGCAGGAATGGACAGGAGGATGAAGTACCTGGCTGGGAGCCAGAAACCCTCAAGAGGTGCATCCGTTTTCTGCACAAACTCCAGCCTTTGTAGCAGTTCAGTAGCAATTGAAGTACATACAAAAATCAGCCACTCAGCATTTTTTGCTGTGCTAGTCTGGAGCTTGGGATGCACTTACTTCTGTAAAAAATCTAATACTGCTGACTGGTTTGGTGATTGCTTTGCTGGATTGTTGAGTTAGAAGGGGTTTAGCCTGCAGATCAGCTCTGGTATTTGTCATTGCTGAATGAAAAAGGATGAGCTGTTCCTGACAATGCTTCTAACTTTTTCTTTGTGTGACTCTCAATACTTCATATTTCCTGGGTCAGTTTGAGTAATCTCTGTTTCATTGCAGTAACTGATTTTAAGCAGGGACAACAAGAGTTGCTGTGCTTATTTGTGCTAAGGAAGAGGAGTGGAGTTACATGTCTCACTGTTTTTGTCGGGAGAGCATGAGAAATTTTGTTACCTAAAGGACTTGGGTGGGAGCTGAAGAGAATGAATGGTGGGATGGAGCCTGTGAAGTCTGTTGGTGAGTGTTGGTGACTGTTTCCATATTAGCAGAAGGAAACTCGGGCACACTGTAAAGGATGGCTTTGCGCTTGGGTATCATGCAATCCTAATTTTGAAATAATCAGCACAGAGTGAGCAGACATGTAAAACAGATGGGGGAATTGCACGCAGGGTGGCATTAAGAGAAATGCCTGATAATTTAGATACCATTTTGTTGTTAATGTGCTTAAAGTGTTTGTGTTTCTATGGGGGGTTATGTTTAATGCACTAAAGGAGATGATATTCAGCTGAGTTGTAGGCTGCTAAGAGACTGAATAGTTAGAGAACAGGAATAAGTAGTTATATTTTGTCTCTGGTGTGGTTCAATAATCAGAGTTCAAAGTTTTCCTTTAATGAATTATGCATATACATGTATTGGTTATGTTTTTCCCCATGCTTTGTTCACAAAAGAAATAATTACCATTCATGAATATTTTCTTTAGTTTCAAATAGTGAATGTGGAGTGATAGACTCAAACTTTGATCTCCAGGCTATTAGTCAAAGTGGTTTAATTATTTTCAGCCATTATCCTGTTCTGTTCTCTGTAGAGATTGGTTTTTGTATTGTTGGCTGCAGCTTTCACGTGGTTTTGATGCGCACCTGCACGTGAATGGCAGCAGAGGTGGTGCAGGCTTGAAAGGACAAAGGTGGGGACTTTGCAGCAGGAGCATCCCGTGGTGAAGCCCCTCTGTGTGTTCATGTGTCTGAGAGCAGCTCAGCACCCAGATCAGGCTGCAAACTGCATTTCATCCTGGCTGCAGGATGCCCAGCACCAGCCTGGAGCTCACTGTAGCTTCTGCTCACCTCCTTGGCTGAGCAGCAGTCACTAAATCCAGTTGGCGTTGCCCTTGAGCCATCTGGTTTCTTGTTCAGTACCCCAATAATAATAAATTAATTATAAATTCAGTTCTTTATAGCATGAACTTTATTGAGCTGTTCAGGCTTTTTAATGAAAAATGCGGGTTTATATTTTAAATCCTCATGGTTTCTAAGGCAGGGTTCATGGTATGGGTTGCTGTAATTTTTGTGCTAAATGTAAAATTTTCTAAAAAGAAAACACAGCTTTCACATATTATATCCAAATTTGAAAAGAGTAATTTCCTCAGCAAACTAAATTTGCTAAACCAGTTTCTAACTTCAGCTGTAAGTTTTTTTTTGTTAATTATTTCCTGCTATCAACCATCTGTATCAAATATACTTTAAAAGGCTGTGTACAAATGGAAAAAGAAAATGGAGGCATAAGAAACATGAAAAAATAGTTTTAGCCCAGAATATATCCTGTAAAAATACACATTTATATGAACCACATATTACACATTGTTGTTTTGATGGAGATAGGTGCTGGTGAAGAGTAGTATTTACCTGAAGTTTTTATGTCTATCTCTGAAATACGGCAAGCAACATAAAAGTATTTGCTGAAGACATGTGCAAGCCTTTTATGGTGGTCTTTATTCCTCCTAATCACTTCTGAAGGCAGCTTATGTCCCCTGTGGGAATTGTTTTCTCTCATTTTCTCCCTCCTTCTCTGAAAAACCCTTCTACTTTAAACCTCTGAAGATTCTTAGTTTCTGCTGCCCTAGACATTTCTGAGGGGGTTTCATTAAACAAGTCTTCATCATAATTTGTTACACTTGCCCCCAGCTTCTTGACAGTAAAATAACACACAAACACACCAAGGGATTTTTTTGGGGGGATGTGCTGAACTACTTGTATTCTTTTGAATGTTTAGACCTTGGAAACAATAAGAAGTTTGATGGCAGGAAACAAAATTTCTGGCCTTTAGTGGTTTATGTCTTCGTGCTGCCATGCTCAGGTGCTGTGGGAATTTCCTCTGTATCTGCAGAGAAATGGAGTATATAATTCAGTTTCTGCTCGTCTTGGCGGGTGAGTGTTTCTGCTGGTGATGGATCGATGCCATTTCCCTGCCAGGAGCAAGTGCCACTGTCCCAAGAGTGGGAAAGTCAAAGTGCAGGAAGTGGATGAAAAATGGTTCTGAAAAGGAGTAGGGAATTTTGCTGCTTTTGCACTCTGTTCTGATTTGGATGTGGAAATAAAGTAAGAAATAATGCCTCCAGTCAATGCATTCTGCTTGTGGTGCTTTATATAGATGGGGAGAGAAAGAGGTGCACTCTTCTGAGCACCCCATCCTTCTCTGAGCACGTAGAAGCAGCTCACAAGCAGTAGGTCAAAAATAACCTGCTGCTCTTAAGCTGATCCATGGGGCTGGTTCTGGAGGTGGACATGCTGAATTATTCTTGTGGGGCTTCACAGCAGTGCTGCTATTCCTGTATTAGACTTTAAAAATTATTTGAAAGTGTTGTTTCTTTAAAAGTAGTGATTTGGTGAATCAGCAGTATTTTAGTGTTATGTATAGACTGTAATCTCAGAGACAAAGAATTTATGGAGGTTTTCATCAAGGATTTAAAAGTGGAAAAAGTATTTTGCGCAGTTTTTATTGTCAAGTTTCCACTACTTAATCCAGGCTCTCATTTAATAAGTACAATAGAATTATTTGCAGCATACCAAATTTGTACTTTTTGTTGCTTGCTGTGCTGACTCCAGAGGCACAGTGTGGGGAGCGGGGGCTTTGGTTGTGTAAGGAACAGCCACCCTGGCCCTTCCTCCTCAGCCTGGAGCTCTGTTTCCCTAATTGCTGAGAGATTGGGATTTTCTAGGGTGGGGCTGCGATCAGAATCATGGGAAGGTCTGAAGATCGGAGTTGTCACCTGGAATTTGACTTGGTTGATGAGTACTTGTAAATGGCAGCCTAAATACAGCCTTTAGCACTCTAAAACCTATCAAACATATATATGTATATGTATATGTATGGAAACTTTTTTGGGGAAGGTAACATTCTTACAACCACACATTTAAAAAATGTTGGACATAATTTGGGGGCAGTTTAGTTAATAGCACAGAATTGATTTTGAGCTGACTGAAGTCGCTGTTTGCAAGAAGCGTGAAGGGAACATTTCCTCCTGGTGAAGGTGTTCCCCCTTCCTCCCCTGCTGCGTCCGGCTCCCCCGGCTGCTGCGAGCGCTGCCGCGCTCTTCTGGGTGCTGGAATCCGTCAAGTCTCTGTCTGGAGCACGGCTCGGCACTTTCGGGAAGGTGTTTTAAGCTGCAAGTTTCGCGTGCAGGCGAGGGGATTGATTTCTGCCCGGGGGCTGGTTCACGTGTGCCGCGGGCCGGCCGCAGCTGCTCCCCGCGCCCGCTGAGGGCTCTGCCGGCCTGCGGTGCGGGCGCCGCTCTGCTCCGCCGCCCTGCGGGTGTCGGGCTGCTCCGGGATCCCTGCCTGATTCTTTCCCTGTGCCGTGCCTCTCCGCCGTCCCTTCGGTGTGCTGGGAAGGCTGCTGGCAGCGCAGGAGCTGGTAAATGGGTCGGCTGATGTGCGGCGCTCGGCCGGAGCGTGGCGGGGCCGTGTGGCTGGCGGTGTGACAGGTCAGACGGCCGCTCCGTGTCCTGGGCGCCTTCCCTTCCTTCTGCTGGGCTCCGCTGCCTTTCGCCGGACGCTGTGAATAGCCTCGCAGATGATTTTTTTTTTTTTTTAATCTGAAATTTTTTTTTCTTATAAATAATTAGGTTTTTGACATGAGCTGTGTGATTAATCTGGACCATTACTGAACTCCCGAGGTCTCTGTGACACTGGGGGTGTGTGGAGAGCTGGGAATTGCACTGATTGTTCCGTGCTCTGCGTTGGAGTGATAACAGTGGCCTCTCCTTCCCAGCCCTAAGCCTCTTATGCTGGGAAGAGGCGTATCAGTGTATCAGCACAATGATGAAGCGGAGGAAGCAGAGGCTCGGAGCCCCATCTCTGCGGATCCAGTAAGGACTGTTGTGAAAAAGGAATTGCACTTAATCATTTCAAATTGAAGCTATGAAGAAGAAAAACGGGCCAGAATTTTCTGTGGCCAATAGACATTGCTTTGATTTGTTAGAACTTTATCTGTCATGCTTACTTGGCTGTACATGAAATTTAATTTTGGAAGCTTTAGCATTTTACTTTTGTGGAGTATTGACCATGAAGTATAGCCAAAAAAATCAATGTTTTAATGTTTTTAACTGGGATACATTGTGGTTAAATTTTGTCCCAAGCATTAGTGTAGTCAAACTAAATGTTTGTAACTGTCTTTCTAGTTTGATCATTCTTCAGATTTAAAAAGCACTTTTAATAATCTGTCAGAAAGCTGTCACAGTGCTAAAATCTTCAGAAACCTTTGCTACCTTTGCTGTGTTCTAGAATTAAGAATGCTTTTGAAAACTTCTAGATTTGAAGCAAGAAGTCTTAGCTACATTGCCACATTGCCACATGCATTTCTACAAATGGAATTCTAACAATCATTTCCTTTTAAAATGCTTTTTCTTTATAAGTGCTTTGAAATCTACTAATGGAAACTGCTGTTTATGTTCGTAATTATATTTATTATTTTTATTAGGTAAAATTAAGGAAATTGTATGTTTAATACGGTGCTCATAAGTAGAGGAGGTGAAAATAATCTATCGTGTAGTCAGTGGAGGGAGGAGCAGGGTAAGAGGCAGGCTTAACCTTTTCTGTCTGCAGACTGTAAAGCTCATCAGCTGTTTAAGCAGAGATTGCTGGTGGGGAGGATTTCCAGTATATAAAGGCTGCTTTACTGATAAGTATTTGGATTCAGCAGGAAATTTAAAGCTGGGAACAAGGACAAACATGCTTGACTTCAGGACCCAAAGTGTAAAATATCTGAATTCTAACCAAAACTGAAGCGTGCCTCAAATTTCCATTTTGCTCACTTTTGTGTTTAAATATGGTAAATAGAAACCTTTTTTCAGCCCTCAGTCAAAAATCAAAGTTATAGGTGTAAGAATACACTGGCACTAATTTGTATTCTAACACATAAGCACACTGTGTAATACCAATAATTGTAAGTTAACTTTTACTTTATTTCTAGCCAAGGACATCTCATCGTGTATAGTTCACTAAAGTAGGTGTTAGAGCCTCTGCTCTGTGTTTATGTACAAGTCTGTTTGCAGCTTTTTGAAAAGCAGCTACTTTGAGACCTTTTCTGTGCCCTGTGTGAGTACAAATGTGCCTTGGCTGCTGAGCCTGCAAAAGCAGGATAGTTCAGAGCTGAGCACAGAGCTGGGCACCAGCCCCTCAGCTGCAATCCTGATGCTGCCTTGGATGTGCTGTGGACATGTCACTGAACCTCTTCATGCCTCAGTTTCCCCACTGCTTCCCCACAAAATTAGAATAAAGCCATTTTGCAGTGCTGCTTTCAGGCTTAATTAGTTGTTGCTCTAAAACAACTGCCACTGCTAAATGTTGTTTTATAGTTAATGGTTTGTGTCATCCATATTTTCACAGTTGTGTGTTTTGGTTATTGCCACAGCTGTGGCATGGAACCATGGCCCCAAATTGTGAAGGCAGTGATAGGAATGGCCCATGTTTGCTGCTGGTGCCATTATTAATTTGTTCATTTTTCTCAATTAAGCACTTTATATTAGAGATTGACAATGGTGTATATTCCAGAAAGCCTGTAAATCACTGCAAGAAAGCATTTGGATAATTCCAGATTGGAAGATTTTTGTAGTGAAAAAATAACTGAATAGATATTGAATAGATATTAAATTGACTGAAAAATACATTTTGGTTTGGATGATAATGGAAAGAAATTACTTTTGACCACTTAGTTTATTGCATTTGTTTAGAAGATATAACTTGTATTTTGAAATTATCTTTTTTCTTTATTGAAACAGAAGATGTGATATTGACCCTGATTTTTTTTTTTTCTACTGTGGTACCTTGTCAGAATCTCCTCTCCTTTGTTCTCCCACTGCCGAGGAAATGATGTTCATCAGCACATGTTCTCTCCTACATCTGCTCCAGGTCTGCAGCATCTTAAATTCCCACTTAGTGCTGACTGTGCACTTGTCACTTCTCCTCTAGTATTTTACCTGAACTCACAAGCCCAGAGCAATCCATCTAGTCCATGCTACAGCCATCCTTTTCAGTGGAGGTAAGGAGAGGTATCAACTAGGAATCTCTAACAGTTTGGTGTTGGCATAACCATCTATGAACTTAACAGCTTTAGAGTTCAAGAGAATAACATCTAACAGAAGGAAACAGCTTCCTACTCACAGCTTACTTCCAGCCATTTAGTGTTCAAGTTGATGTTGCGTATTGGCACAAATGTTTTGTAGTTTGCACGTAAGGAAAAAGATAAATTGGATTAAGGAATAGAAATCTGTCTGGTGCTGTATGCATGCCTCTTCCTGGTGGTACCTTCTGCAGCTTGTACCATGCCACAGAGGAGCTCTCACAGGCATGTCTGGTGTCAGGAAAACCAATTTAAAAATAAAGCAGCCTAAAGTGGGGTCCTAAAAACCCCTAAGAAGTGGGTCTGTGCTAAATACTGAACCCTCTTCTATTCCCTGGAAATCCACTCTGCTTTCTTACAGAGGCTGGCAGGCTGAAGTCTCCAAGCACAGGGTACACAAAGGATAAGGAGTAGAATCAAGCCTGTTGTTAGCAGGCGTGAGTGAAGGATACAAGAGTTTCTGAAGCAAAAATAGCCCAAACCAGCTCAGTTTATATTGAAGCACTTAACAGCTCAACTGATATATTTTCCCTTCAGGATTAGCTCTTGCTCCTTGCTGTGCTTGTGTAGGACAAGCACAGCCATCAGCCTTCAGCTGGAAACCTTCAGCTTCTTCACTCAGAGGAAATGTCACCAGCTCTCAGGGGGACAGTCCCAGGCAAAGGCTCACACACGCTGGAGATCTTTGTGTGTGTGGTTATGAAACTGGAGCTCAGTGGTACCTACTTAAAACTTGAGCCAACATTGCACCAGAGGGCTGGTTTTGAAGTTCACATGCTGCAGGGTGGATGTGGCTGCTCAAATTTCGGTTACTCATCAGGTGGTAATGCAATAGCCCCTGAATCTAGATGTTATTTCAGAGGGAGGTTGGTCTTGCTGGCCAACTCTGGTAGGACTAACCAGAAAATGTGAAGTTGAACTATTTTAGGCTTCTGCCCCTCTAATGCAGAGTAATGTATATGACATCTGTTGAGTGGAAATCAGGTTGTCAGCAGAGGAAAGTTGCATGTGTCTATCCTCACTGTGCATGGCCATGGGGAGAGGCTTGCCCAGTGTCTGCTGCTTTCCCTGCATGATGGGCAGCACTTGGTGACAATTCTTAATAAGGTGCTCACTTTGGCAGCACTTGGGGGAAGTGAAGGGCAGCAACTACAGAAGAGTCTCCTAACATTTCAATGTCATGGCCATCAATCTAATTTTAAATGAATTTTTATTATTTAAAGGCTGGTGTTGGGTAATGTTCCTTTAAACAAGGGTGATTAAACTTGATTAAATGCTGTTTAGCCTTGGGGCTAATTAACGGACTGGTGAGTGGCAGTTAAATATCAAAATTAGATTATTGTTCAAGTCAGCTGAGAACTGTTCTTTTTGGAGATGAGATTTGATGCTTATTGATTATTTTCAAAAGCCTTTTTGATACTTACTGCTTTTTCTTCCTCTGAGAAACCTTCAATTTTCAGAGTTCTGACATGGGTCAGTGAATAATTTACTCTCTAAGAACAGTTCATATAAAAGTCTTAATAGCAAGCTTTATTCCACTGTTACTATGGACTCCTTGATAATAATATTTTTCACATATGGGGACCTTCCAGCCATCTGCTCTTTAAATACTGAATGGTTGATGATTCACAGATACATGGTTCTGTGTGAGAGCTTAGGTCGACTATAATAAGTTTTTATTTTTGTCGTTGTTGCTTTCACCTGTGCAGCTCTTGATCCTGTTTTATCCTGTCTTTCTTTGTTGTAGTTTTGTTTACTTGGTTACGGTGCCAGTGATAGCCATTCCTGCTTGCCTAGAGCAAAGGTTCATCCTGGCAAGTTACCACTGTCATTGATCTGCTCAGCTTAGCACCTCAGGTTAGCCAGGCAGTGATTCATTTCCATGGCTATGCAGGGAACTGCTGGAAAATGTAACAAGAAAAGCTTGTGCCTTCATGTTAAATCTTCCTCACATTTTACCTTTGGTATATTGCATTTGCAAGAGACTGCACAGATTTTCCCTTCTTCCCTATGTTTCATGGTGCCATTGATAATTTTATGTCGACAGATGAACAACTGTTGGTGCATCTGATGTCAAGACAGATGGCATGGAAGTTCATGGTTTCTGAAAGAATTAATCTAATTAAGATTGAAAATATTTTATACATAACCTTTGAACAAATGAAAATAATGTAAACCTTGCAAAAGAGTAAAAGGAAATGTGGTCTGATTACAATAAAACCAAATTGATAACAGGTGGAATAAGACTGCTATAGTTGATGGAAATGTGGGTTGGAATTAAGGTCATGCATCTTTAGGAAGAAAAGAGAATTATGTTCAGAATTAAACGAGTTCTGATTTTTGTCTTTGGGATCTGGCTTGCACTCTTCTGGGGGTAACAGGAAAGTCAAATTACTGAAGAAGAAAATGAGGCCATGTTTCACAGCTGGTTCTCTTTATGAGCTGGCAAATCTTTGTGCACCCATATTTGTCCTTTAATTTAATCAAGATATGAATTTACAGCATTTTTTGCTCTCAAGTTGCTTAAGAGATGTCATGAATTGATTGTTCTAACTTGGAAGTGATGAACCGTGAGATTAAAGGAGAGTGCAATTACCCCCATTCCAGAAAATGTTACATTCTGTGTAACACCCTCAGTAAGATATAAGACATTTTCAGTAATTCTGGAAACAGTTTAATTTGTTTGTGGTAAAAAGGATGAAAGTGTCCAGGTGCTGTTTTTCTGGCATCTCTGATTGCTGCAGCTGAGGTGAAGTCTCAGTGGAAATTTGCTTCAATTTCCTAACAAACCAAGGGAAGAGTTGGCTTCAGCTGGATCATTCAAGGGGCATTTTCTCGTGCTATTTCAATTTCATGAATTCATGCCAGTTGTGGAACATGTTCTTATAGGGATGTATGGTGGAGGTTACTTTTACAGGAATGTTTTCCCTTGGAAATTCTAGCTTTAATGAAGTCTATTGGAAATAGCTATTAATTTTTTTATAGCTTTTCAGAATAGTTTAATAGAATTTTTTCCTAGCCTCTACAAAATCTGGTCACCATTTGTGGATGTGATGGTGACCAGACCCTTGCTGTCTTATTTAAATAAAACAAAATGGGAAACCTAATGTTGCTCCAAAATAGTCTTTAAGCACACTACATAATTACTCGATCAGTGTGTAATTGCAATGTTATGAGTTTTATATAATTAGGATTTTATGGACATCTGCAATATAATTTAAGAATATATTAATTTATTTACATAAAAAGCCTATTCTAGGAAACAAGCCTTTCATCAATAACTGTGGTAAGTAACTAGAATATATTATACACAGGCGTTCAGGAAATGTCCTGGAGGGCTGCCTGCCTTTATTTAAAGCCTTTTTTGTACAAGCTGTTGCAATGGATGAGGGGAGAACTATATTTAGAGCTATGGCTTGTTTGGGTGTGTGAGTGAGGTTGGGTGGGCAGTGTCCTGGGCAGGTCTGCTCCACTGCAGTGAATCCAGTGAGCTTTCCACATTTGCAGGATGCTGGTCAGCAAACCCTCCCCAAAGGGTGGGGATGGGGACATCCACCTTCTTGGAACGGGTCTCCTGTTCAGCAAACCCTCCCCAAAGGGTGGGGATGGGGACATCCACCTTCTTGGAATGGGTCTCCTGTTAGACTGCGGCTCTTCATCCTGTGTGTGAGCATTGCCGAACGGGTCTCCTGTTAGACTGTGGCTCTTCATCTTGTGTGTGAGCATTGCTGTGTGCCTCAATGAGAGGCTTGTAGCTCCAGTCCTGATGCTTCAAGGCAGGTGCAGAAATCCCTTCCTTAGCACAAGGATGTATTCTTGGCACACACATCCCCAGATCACCTGAGGTTTGGGTTTTGTAGACTGCATATATTTTACAACATCAGGGCTGTAGCTGTAAACAGAAGTTCCTTATTTTTAAGGAAGATCAAAACCATTTCAGAATTCAGACTTGATGAGTTTCTTTGTTCTTATTTTGAAATACCTCAAAGCTTATCAAAAGTTGTTGGTTTTCTATCTTTGCCTAAATTTTGCCTAGTGTAAAGTTACTTGATATCATACAAGTTTTATATTTATTTTTTTCTAGTTAGAATTCCCTATTTGACAAATGCTGGAGGATTAATGAAGAGGCCTATATTCAGTTTGAATGACATTTGGAAATTGTTCTGGTTTTGCAGTAAGTGTTATCCTCCTGGTTTAGTGCTTGATTTGGTACAGGTTCTGCTTTCTTAAATGTGCTAAATAATTGGTCAGAGTTGACTGCAAGATGGCATAATGTCACTTTTGGAAACAGTGTAGATCAGCAATTCAAGAATAATGAGAAGCAGAACAACTTTGTGGATATATCATTATGCATAATGTGAAATGATGAATTTTGAGTAGGTAAGCTTTTGGCAACTGAATTCTAATCTACATCTCACATCGAATGAATGAGTTTCCCAGAATTAATTTCTTTTTTAATGGAAATTTTTCTCCTTATTCCTTTTCCTTTGTACTGGTTTTTGTTCTTGGGAATCATTTTTCCCATCTATGAAACTACATGGGAGGGCCACACTGGTGATACTTGAAACGTGACAGGCTCAGATAACTTCTTGTGTGTCTTGGGCTGACGGGAAAATGTTTGTTTAATATGGTTGGCAATATTGAGGCATGGTGGCCTACATGGTATAATTTTTTCATGTGAAGGCATTATGTAAATGCAAAAATCCCTGCATCCTGCCTGGAGCTGCAGTAGCAGAAGAGTTAAACCCTGGGGTTTGGAGCCCGAGGTGTGAATTCTTGTCTCCTTCCAGGCTCACATTTTGGCTGCCCTCCATGGGACCAATTGTAAATCATAACCTGGTGGTTTGACCTGGGAAATTGGAGGCTCCCAGAGGGGAGCTTGTACTTGTGACTTTAGAAGAGCTTTACTGTTTGTTGGC